TTTTTGACAAAAGTTTTGTTGAAGAACTTTTAAGATTTCGCGATTTCTCCACATATTTATGTAAATCGGTAGTAATTAAATGCACTATTTGTTAAAAAAAAAAAGGTTATGAGCAAATGAAAAACAGAAAAACACTCAAAAAACCTTCTAAAAGAATTGGGGCTGCCAAATAAAGCGCTGTTTGACTAGCACAACTCATAAAAAAAGTATTTATGGGTCGTGCAAATCTTTTCTTCTTAATGCTTTTCTACTGAGAGCGACGTAAAACAATGTGTATGAAAATATAAGTTATGTATAGCCATAACAGTTACTTATTTTCATAACAAAAAGTGCGAACTAAAAATGTGTTTTTAACTATTAACAATAAATAATTAATTTTAGCTGTATGTGGTTGCTGTGAATGTTTTGAGATTTTATTTTAAATATTTTTACAATTTTAGAGTATCATAAAAATTGTAGCTTAGCATATTTCGCGAAAATCATTAATAATTTATGGGGTGATTGTAAGGCGTTGCCAGAAATCTATAAATTTTAAGCGTTCAAATTTGAATTTTACTTCGCTTGAAATTTATTTTAATGAGATTCCACTCTCTAACACGTTCATTTAAAGTGATCTCTAAATCATACATTAACAGTTTTTGGGAAAAAAATATTCATACATACATATTCACAAATATTTTAACAAATCAGCGGGAAATTTGTAAAATGTTGTTATTATTTATTTTTAATTTACCAACTTTTTTAAACTTTTGTTTTTTCTACATTTCTGTTATGTTTGTGTTCAAATTGAAGAAAAGTGTGCTTTTGTTGTCGTGACAAAAAAAAAGAGTATCAAGGAATAAAGATATCTATTATAGCCGTTATTTAGTAAATATTATATTGTAAATATATAATCTGTAGAATTTTTGTTAAAACTTGAGATTTTGTCATTATAAGGTACATATTATTTGTAGAAGTGAGCCGAAGAAAGCATTGCACAGAGGCAGTGCGTAAGCTCGTAAAAAATTTGCAAAATAACGGTTATAACCTAAGAGAAATTGGAAAAATTATAAAAAGATTCCAAAAATTTGTGTTTACTGCTTTGAAACCTACAAAAGAATATGAAATGAGGGAATGGTCACGAAAAGCGACGTTTCAGGATGACAATTACATAAGAGATTTTATCAAAACGCATAGGTAGTTGCGCATCGTCTTGTAGAAAATAATATCTTCGGAACGTTGTGCCGGAAAGTTGCAATGTTGACAAAAAATAAGACATCGGAACAATCGGATTGCATTTGCTTCAGTGACCCGAAGCATACCTCGGGTGTAGTCAAGACTTGGTTACAGTATCAAGGAAACGATGTTATGGTTTGCCCGCGCAATCTTCGAATTTAAATTCTATAGAAAACCAGTGATCGATTGCAAAGGAAAAGTTGGAACCCATTAAATCACGAAATAAGAAGGAACTATGGGAAAAAGTCCAAGAGGCGTGGCATTCAATACCGAATTCAGTCTGTAAAGCTCTATGTCGAAAAGGTGAACTACCGTACTCACAAATAAAGGTTTTACAACAAAACTTTAATTTATTTGCATTTTTAGTTAGTCTACTATTTACTAGTTTTAGTGACATGATTATATTTTATTATCGACTGAAGTCCTTAACAGTTCCTTCAAAAGTTGTCTGCCGATAATACTTAAATTTATGTAAAGCTATTTTTGCTTTTGAAATGTTAAATAAATTATATTAACTAAAAAAAATTGTTTCCTCATAAGAACTGTGGTAACTTTTTTTTTGCAAATAGTTGTGAATAACATTTTGATTCTATTTTATTGTCAGTAACTGTATGTATACATATGTATTAAAATTCACTAAGCCCGTACCAAATAATTTGTTTATTCTTCAAAGTATTCTTCAGTTTTTAACACATTTTTCACTACCCAATATTCTATATTTGAGCAACTGTTTAACAAGCAAATACTTAAAATGTATTTAGGTCATACATACATACATATTCATATACTCTCGTATGTACCTATGCACATAGGTATAAGGCATGGTGGTCATTATATATTAATTCCCTCATTTCGAAGACATTATACCAGCTTCAGAAATATTCCGATTTTTTACAAACAAAATATTTTTTTGTTATTTACTATTTAAAACCTACTCATATATGCCGTTGGAAAGTTTGTTTATATTTTTCATCTAGTTACATATGTATGTCCATATATAAGTATCCTATAAGTTAAGTGATAGTTTCTCACGCAACCCCAAGTCGGCAGTTGACAAATGATTTTAGTAGCGCCTTAAATTTCATTAAAACCAAACCACAGCGGTTTTTTATTTGCCCTTCTTCTTCTTTTTCTCCTTCATTAGCCTTGAAACATGCAGCAAAGGCAACATTCAAATTTACCACTTCACATTGGCAAAGAGTGTATGTAGCTGCGTACCAATGTACAATTTTTCGTAATTGAGGTGTAAAAATTGCGTGCCGCACAGAGGCAAAACAACAACACAAAAGAAACGTGTTACTTGGTAACCTAGTGACTTATTTGAATGCAAAACAAAACAAAAACCAAAAGTAAAAACTGTGTGCAATAGCAACCAAACCAAAATATATAAAAAAAAATACAATTGTAAAAAAAAGCAAAAACAAAAAATAAACCAAATTTGAAATAGTAACCAATACTATATATAACCAATGGATAAGGAGTTGCCTATGTTTACACAAAAGGAAAGGTATTCGCGTTGAGTGTGTCTTAAAAGCGAGAAGCTGTAACACAATTACAGACATACAAATAAACAAAAAGTAAAAGTTTAAAAATAAATTTCTGTATCTTAAGAACAAGAAAGAAATATGTCTATAAATGTATGATTTCCAGCAGTGCAAAGCATGCAAATAACAAGAATCTCCAAGTTTATATATCTTTAATAACAAACAAGCAAAAAGCGCACTGAGGAGGTACAGAAAAAAACAATACAACAAACTCTATATAATACTATGAGTCATGCGGCGAGCGTGTCCGCCGTTGCGGATCACAATCAATTCTTTCGACGTTAGCGCCATGAGCTTGGAGTTGAAAAGCTAAATACTGCATCGATTGGCGCAAGAGCAGACCAAACTGAGCAATAAACTAGCAGGCAAAAAAAAACTGCTTACAAACGAGGTCGACCAAAAGATTGGTATGACATGTCGGAGCTACATTAAGTAAATGAAAGGCTACGCCTCACTGAAGTGTTTAAGGAGTACACTGCGGAGCAACTGAAGCAGATACCTACCTCTCAAGATGTTATACAAATGTACTTAGAGTAGAATGTATACATACTTTTATAACTCCCACATGCTGGGCACACGCATTGTTTCCATTACAATACTTACACGCCACAATTATTCATAATTTAATTCCAATCAAACATTTCGCATGTACATACATATATTAGGCATTCATATCCATAAGTAGCGCCACAAGCCACTCCCAAAATGTGGCCTAGGCACGCCAATCGCGGCGTCCATGCATGTCGGTTTGGCTAACAGCTAATGAACAAGCCAATGAATCCATATAAGTAGTTATGGTACACAATACTTTGGTTATTTTTCATTTAATTCCTTTTTTAATTTTTTGCAAACGCTCAGCCACAATGGAAAATGACACGAATTAAACGTTAAACTTCACTGAGCAGCAAGTTTGCGGAAATTTTTAGAGCGATAAAATGTGAAAAGTCTCAAGTTTTGGTTGCTAATGGGAAATATGATTCAGAAATTGGGTATTTCAAAGAATTTTTATAATTAAGGGGAACTTTATCTCATAAACATTTCGGCAGTCTTACCGTCGACGAACTAGGTGACATAGCCGAAACTGACATTAGCTGCGCAATAAATTTGTGATAGTCTCAAGGCGCTTTGTTGTTTTATGATCAATAATTTAGGTGTTTTAGGTACCACAAGGGACCGGAGTTCCAAGCTGTCCAAGTGAGATCCCTGTTAGTACGATCACTTAACTTAACTAAACTGTAAATATGCACATACCGAAAACCAGATTGGTAAAAACTAAATTTTTTTCAAGAATAGACCTGTGAACCATTAAGAGGAAAGCCACAATATTTTATGTAAGATTACAAAGCAAACAATAACAAGCAAACTATTCTTCCCTTTTGCTTTAAATATTTTCTAAAACTAAAAAACTAAAAACGAATACAAAGCAGAATACACAAATAATTTTCACCTAGCAGTTAGCTGTATGATTAACTGCATATTTTCGTTGCCATACAAATAGCTAATTGACGCTCCAACTTACAACAATAAAAGCTAAGGATTTCAGTTGGCAAAAGTAAATGAATATTTCTCATTAGCGTAGGCATTTTTATAAGATTTAATGCCTACTTACATACATACACACATATTTACGAATATTATATTGCGGTTGACCAAGACCGAGTAAATACTAATCTTCCAACAAATAATAAGTTGACTGCGATTTTATGGCACCCATTCAAGTGCATACAATTTGCATTAGTCACCAAGAAACAAAATATTCCAAAAAAAAGACCTACATACTTAAATCAAAGAGTGAAACGGCCTTGTAATTTATTGCTTTTTTCAGTCACGAAGCAAAGTGGTGTAATTTCTTATCAGTAACAAAGAACCATGATTGACTGAGCTGCTATTTATAATATATGTACATATCCACATCGACGTAGAAATGTATCGCTTGAGTTTATGTTCACAGAAACAGCTTAAACAATTCATAAAAAAAAAATGCACTCAACATATTTTAAACAACTCTTGCATTTATTTTTAAAATCTAAGTAGCTATTGAAATGCAGTAGGCATTTATCTGCCAGCACAGAATTTATGTCGATAAATGTCATGCCAATGAGTCACTTGCCCAGCAAGCAGTCAAAATCGCCGCTAACCTCTGCGTTGCAAAAACAAAAAAGCAAGGTATTTTTACAATACTTAAACAATTTTATTTTGAGTAGATGTGCACATCAAGCATAAAGCAAAATTATGTTTTACCTTCTCAGAATGTCGTTGCCATGCAAAGCCGGTTAACCAAACAAGACCAGCTGAGCCGCTGCAAACGCCACGTAAGAGTTAAACAGCAAAGGGAATCAGGCACAGTTAAATGCACCGATAAACAGTTTTATAAAAATTGATTGCCACTTCTTGCAAAATAGTTTAAAATTTGTTTATATATTGTCCAAACTGCAAACCGACGCAGACCTTCAGACAACAATTACTGCAGATTTCCACCGTTTTGCCTGCACTTCACAACACTCGCTTTGCTTGTTTTTCACTAGCGTTTGCAAAAGCCGGAGTCACTAAAATTTTTTTTTTCATTTACAATAAATTCATTAAACATTGATCACTGAAATTTGGTTTTTTTAAATATTTTTATATTCATTTCCGTATCAGAAATTAAAATTGTTTTGTATGAAATCAAAATAATGTCAATGCGAAGAAGGTGGCCAAACGCACCCACCCAGCAAATTATTTTAAAATGGACTGATTGGAAAAGAGATACAAAGCTGTGAGAGCGCCGTTAACCAATTTGACAGCCACGATTTGCAGTTTGTTTAACTGCAGATGGCGCGATTGGCTAACTGTCATTTAAAGATGACAGCTGCGGCATCTATGCTTAAACTGAAGTAGTCGATCTAGAATTGTGATGTGAAACTTGGGCTACTGTTGTTACAACTAATGCACGCTAGGTGTCGCTTGAAATAATTTAACTGTTATACTTCAAATCATCCAACTAACGGCATAGCCGAAATAGGTCGGAAATTTCGTTTAAAGTTTTGTAAAATTGAGCTTGGGCTGTGAACAAATTAAAACTTATAAAAAAAAACAGATTTTTATTTCCATATCGTAAAATTGTTTGAGACTTGGCAGTGAAAGCCACACTTTTCTGTGCTTTTTTGATAAGTAGGGGTTGGAAGACTGAACAAACTGTACAATTTCGAGTGTATTATGTACGGCGGAGCCCTAAATGCAGACTTGTATTGTATAACTATAGTAAGCTTTTTTTTCATGGTCCGCAGTTATGAAAAGATCGGGTATATAAGAAAATTTGCGGTCTTGAATTAAATAAATCCATACTAGTTGAGATTCTCGGGTTTCCGAGCCGCTTTAATGGTTGTTTGAACTCATATATACAATAAGACAGATAAACATAGTAAATGCAGAGAGCATACAGCAACTCTCCTCTAAGTTCTCTGGTATATACTCGTACATATGTATTAAAATGGCTCAAATGAAATGCAAAAACAACAAAAATGACGGAAATCAGCGATTGACCTTGTTCGAATGCCTTAAAAGGTCTTAAGCCGCAAAAACACAAAACGCTAAATAACTAGCACTGCAACTACATAATAGCCTTATACAGTCACAACAGCAACAATAACAATAACAACAACAAAAGTTACCAACACGCATGCGTCAATGCAACAGAGATGGCTGCGTCGATTGATGGCCAATACTGCCATCTAAAATATATATGAGTTACATACAGGCAATTGCTTTTTAATGTGTGTACAATCATTCACAACAACAATAACAACAACAATTTTTTGCAGCCAGCAATGCACATGTTCTACCGATATGTCGCCGCAGCAGAGAATTTGCGCCGTCGGCTAGAATTCTCCGCATTTTATGGAGTTTATTTGGCCAGCAGTTGCAGCACTATTTTGTTGCAACTAAACTGCCGCGCGAGTTGTTGTTGTATTGTGCAGCTCCGTAATTGCACATAGTATCTGTTTGTATTGGCGAATTTCCTTTCTCTTCGCTATGCAGTCAGTGGCTTCTTTAGAACGCTTTGCCTGCATTCTCTATTGGCATCTTTAGAGTTTTGCTTGCCACTTTGGCTTTTGGCTGCGTTCTCACAAAAACTCTTTAGTACGCTTTGTTACTTTTTTCACCGATTTCAAAGTGGGGAATTGTGCCAATGTGTTAGCAGGAATTGACTGCGGAACGCACAAGTCAAGGTAAGTCTAGATAAGGTATGGATCGTTGTAAAGCACATATGCACCTATGTATGTGTGTATGGTGCAATGTGCGTCAGATAATGCCTTACATATTTACGTGCTAACGGCAAACAAATATGTTTGGGAGAATATAATAAAGACACAGATTTTGGAAAAATTAATATCAGACTGTTTTAAATGTTCTCAGTGTAAAAATTCAGCATATTCGATACTTTTTAAAAATAATAGTGAATATATGGAGGTTAGGTCTCCTAGAATATACATAATGACTTGCATATGAACCTTTTTTTGCGATTTTGTGACACGAAACGAATTTGAAGATAAGTTTACTACTTAGGATTACACTTATAGGGAAGAAGTTAGTGAAAAACGCGCCCACTACTTTTAAATTCCATACCACACCTTCAGGTAATACACATTTTTATACTTATAACGGTAGAAATCGGTAAAATAAGTTAAGGAAGCACCAAAAAATTACAAAAAAATAAAAAATTTAGGTTAAAGAAAGCTAAGAAAAAGAAATATTAAAAAAAAAATATTGGAAAAATTGGAAAAATAAAAAGAAAACAGTTAATGCTAGTAAGATAGATAGACAAATTTAGCAAAACATATTAAAAAAACTAGAATATAATTTATAAAAATAAATACAGAAATAAAAACTAGAAATATGAAATATTTACAATGAATAATGAACAATGAATGAAAGTATCAAGAGGCAGATATGTAAATTTAAAAATCCCAATATACAGTTACGCAATATTAAACACTAAAACATTTAATAAGAGCGTCTTAATGACACTGAGACAGGCCAATTCGCTTCAGTCGAAATTTCTTATTTTGTTTCGAAAGCAAATACATTTTTTTAACAACAAATTTCACATTAACCAATTGTTTTTAAAGTATAAAAATAGATCGATAGGGATATAAAGAGTTCGAAAGAAAAGGCATTATATAACGGTTTCTTACTTTTGGCGGTGGTCCGGCGGCCTTCGTGATTTGCGTCTTTTCCGCAGATGCTGCTGGTGAAGGACGTTTCAGTCTGTTGGGGGAATCTGCAATGAAAAAGAATGTATAACAGTTAAAAATATTGTTAATAGATTACTGTAAGAACCAAACTTGCTAAAAAATAAAATTAATAAAAACACTTCTTAACTACTTTAGGAATCAATATTATGTTCAATTAAAATTAAAAGAGATAACTTATTTATTTTCTTAATTTTCTTCAACTGCAAACTACCGAAAAATATTTTTTATTCATTCTATGGGTAAAGCAATAGAAACATGTTAAAAATTTCGAACGAGTTCTTCATTACAACAGTTTAAATGACAGTGTAAGGTATTATGTGCATAATAATTACCCATATAAACATATAAAGCCTTATCTATTTTGCCAACATCAGAAAAAGCTCAGCAAAGGAAGCCAAAAGCTCCGAGCTGACACAGCCAAAAGGAGTTTCTTATAAACTGTGATGCAATTTACCAAATATTCAGAATTTTTGAAATGCCGCTTTCTTCGCATTTAGTTGACGTATTTACATATACATTTGAGAACACATATTTACTCTATATTAATAATATCACACACGACGGAAATATATTCGTCACCCCTTTGAATGACGCAGGAACTTAGAGGAAGCTCAGGGTTGCACTTACCATGAGTAATTGGAAATTGTGGTATTCACATAAATTACCCTCCCATCCACCTATCGGTTAAGTCACTGGTTAATTACCCAACAGCGCTATCAGAGGTTTATGTTCAAGTTTTTATAAATTTCATAAGGCTTAATTGACAATTCTAATCGAAACTCTTGTGTATGTGTGATTGTTCATCCCTCTTTTACGCAAAGGCTTTATGAGTTGCACGGTGTTTTTAATAATATGATAATAACTCTATAGAAGGTTTGTATATGTTTGCTATTATAAACTATTATAAACAATATAGCAATATATATTGTGTTTATAAGTTAAATTTATTTTTAATTGACATAATTTTTTTTACATACTTAACAATAATATATTTTTTTTTATTTTTATACTTATTCATATTGCTGGCAACTCTGTTGACAACATCAATGACAAATTACAATATAATTGGAATATATAAAATTTTGTATCAAAATTTTGATTGCTTTTTTGTTTAAAAAAAAAAAGAAATTAATTTTGTTCAATATTTTTAAACATACGTACAAACATAACTCGCAATTCAGGTGACGATTTGTCACATAGCATAACATAAATATTTGAATAATGTTTGTTCGTTTAATACTTTTTCAAGGGTTTAATTTTTAATGTTCATTTATTAAGTTGTTATGTGTATTTTTTATTATTTTAATTAATTATTTTTTGTTTTTTACATATTAATAACAATATTATAATAACTCATTAAACACTTTAAAAATATAAAACTATAAGGTATTTAAAAAATTTATAATTCTATTGTGAATACCCCACTAAATACTTTTTCAGAATAAAAATGTAACTATGCGCTTTGCCGAAGTTCCGCGCCATATTTCCTTTGCAAACAGTTCCTTTTGTGAATATCGTGCAAAATAACTGTAATAATCGAAATATTTGTGCACAATTCTCAAGTAGTGTTAATTCTAAATTGTGGTGACGTGAAATAAAAGTCGCGGCGGTGTTTTTCAATCGGCTTTTCGGAAAGTGAATAAGTGTCTCGCCAGAGAATGTTTATAAATTACGCATTCGTGCGTAGAAAACAAGGTGTGTGTAAGTGTTTAGTTTGTATAAAATTACAAATAAAGTGTGTGTTAATCTTACGAGAGCAAATTGCAAACGAGAATCATCAAGAAATCAAAGAAAGGTGAATGTTTTATAAAAGAAAGAATTTTGAAAAATGAGACTGGCGCCAGCACGTTTGCCTTTGGAGCTTTGTTTTTTGAGACTCCTTACGATCGCATTGTTGTTGGTGCGGATGACATAGCTTTCATGCGAAGCTTTCATAACCTACAGGTGTATTTTGTGTCACAATGCAAATAAAATTTTTTGCATACTCTTAGGCGACTAATTTTTTATATCTACATAGTAATCATATTGACCTCTCTTTGAATAGTTGGCAAATAATGTGTGTAAGGAACAGTTTGAGAGCTCTTGTAATACAACTTCAAAACAGTTAAGGCAAAGAAATTGTCATTACGCTGGAAATAAAATCTTCGTCACAATTTCGATAATTATTCAAAAACAGTTTTTGTAAAATACAATATATTTTTTAATACCAGATAAAAGGTAATTAAAGTGTACTTCAATAATAAAAACCACAGCAAGTTGATTGATGAAGCAAATTGATTTAATCAAGTCTGGCAGCGCATTTGTATGGCCATAAATATATATGTGTGTATGTATGTATTTTTCAACGAGTCCTATTTTCCTTTTTTTTATACACAATAACTATTTTTGAGTAAACTGTTTATGTCTAGTTTTTTTGAAACCTCAATTAGTGTCCGAGGTTTAGGTATAATTGTAAAGCCTTAGACGTAAAAAATCGGGAATTTTCGAAAAATTCGAATAACATATTATTATATAACATGAGTAGCAAACTGAAAGTATTTTGAAAATCTTTACTATGGGCATGCTTTGAAATAGATTTGTCAGCATGTTTAGTGAAAATAAAACTGAAATATGAAAAAAATTATTTAAAAACATCGTTGCCACCTGTAGAAAAAAGTAAAGCAACACAAAACGGAGAACAGATAAGTTGTTCACTGGAGTTATATTTAAGATTATTTAATGGATTCTAGAAAATTAAATCGATAGCTTGAGAAACCAGTTAAACATTTTTTTATCTACGGTAACGGTATTTTAATTAATAATGCAAGTGAAAATCAAAGAATTGAAGCACCTCGGTGGTATATACAATAATTTTACATAAATTGTGTATGTATAAAATATACCACGAAAAAATGTGTTATATCTAGGTCTTATGCAATTTTGTTTTAATAACTAAATTCAGAGTACTATTCTTTTTGGATAAATATGTGTATCGAGCAAACTAAAAGCACACTAATCGTTAAGGAAATTCAAACGTTTTTCCTCTAATATGAAGTACAATCGATACATTTAAGTTTAGAATATAACATTCATGACCTCCACGGCTTCTTCTGCAGTAACGAATTTGATAAACCCAATTTTTGAGTAATTTTCCACTAAATCAAGTCATATTTCATGAATAGTGCGTTCAATATGGACGTCTGGTTTATTGCTAAAGACTAATTGCTAATGACTTCAAATAAACCCACAAAAGTAGTTTAATGGTGTTAAATCACAAGGTCAAGGAGGTCATTCAACGCCACAATTTCTTGAATTTGCAACAATTCGGTTGTTGCACGTGCTGTGAGGCACGTAGCCCTGACTTGCTGGAACCAGATGTTGTCAAGATCAACTTCTTCTAATTGCGGCCGTAAAAAGTTGGTTATAATCAATCTATACCGCTCTCCATTGATTGTAACGGTATCACCAGCTTCATTTCGAAAGAAGGATGGACCGATGATTCCAACAGACCAAAAACAACATCAAACTGTCAATTTAAGTGAATGTAATAGTTGTTCATGAATAATTTGTGGATTTTCTTCGCACCAGAATCGACAGTTTTGTTTTAATTGTAAAATTGAACCACTTGAAAACGTTGTTCTTGCGTATATCTTTCCATGATGAAATTGTAAACATTACTGATAAAAATTAAAAAAATTACAGATCATGACATATTTAAAATGACCGAAACGACACTTAGAGATCATATCACTCCTATTGGAAAGCTCGATATTTGAAATTGGTAAGATTGTTTTTTTATATTATTCAAATTAATGTTATATGATTTTTAAAAATTTCTTTATTCTATTCATCCAATAAGCCGGCTAATGAGTACAAAGAAAGTTATTTCGGTAATTAAAATTTTTATTTTTTTAATTTATTATTTCTTTTTTAATTCAAGTTAAATTAATAGATGTATATGTAAAAAGGGAAGGCATATTTTTAAGATCGTCTGTACGAATATTGCCTATACGCACCTGTCAATTGCAACACGATACATGTACGTAGGTGCTCTGAGGCATTTCAGTAATCATTAATTTTATCAATCAGCTTTCGAGCTTGCAGCGGAAAGAAAACGCATTTCACGCGCTTTGTGTAAAATCGACGTTGATTTAATAAAATATAATTTGTTTCATTTAACAAAATGTGTTTTTTTTCAGTCGGTGAAAATTATATACAAATACACATTATAGCGAATACTTTACGCATTTTTGACTTACTATACATATGTTAGCGTTACTAAAATGTACATATCTCTCTACATAATCTATCGACAGCTGTTCCATTTAATAGGTGCGTGCGATCGTCAGCCAATTTGTATTACCATAAAACAGAAATTGACTGGGAAGTGTCAATTGGTTTTTCTCTTCCTCTGCAATTTTATTTCTTTACACGCATTTCTGTATTATTAAAAACAAATTAATAACCAAATTACATCCGCAGATGCCGGACAGACATGACTTCCTTACACTTTGTACACATATCTCAACATAATATACATATCTACATATATGAACATATATTTGTGCTTGATTAAATGGCGATATACACTGTTATTTGGATTTATGAACCATGCAAGCATGTTTGAGAGCATAGCTTCCTATTATTGTAAGCTTTACGAAAAGAACAGTAGCTAAGTAACAAAATGTAAGTTACTAAAGCAAGACCACAAATATTCTTATTACCACGGAAAAAGGTACATACAGTTTACCAGAGAGTTTAGCAATGTCCCTCTGTCTGTTTGTATATACGCGAAGAAGTCCTTCAGTTTTAGAGATATCAATCTGAAATTTTGCACACATCATTTTCTTCTTAAGAAGCTGCTCATTTGCGGGAACAGCCGATATTGGACCACTATAGCATATAGCTGTCATACAAACTGAATAATCGGAATCAAGTGCATGTATAGGAAGCTTTTGCAGTTGGATCACTGGATATTATATTATAAAAAGTTCTTGCAAACTTTTAAAAATAACAACCTAAATTTGAAAGCAGAGGCGTTAGCAGT